ACTAAATCTATGTGTTACTATATGTTACTAAATCTATGTGTTACTATATGTTACTAAATCTATGTGTTACTATATGTTACTAAATATATGTGTTACTATATGTTACTAAATCTATGTGTTACTATATGTTACTAAATCTATGTGTTACTATATGATGAAAGGCAAATGATTATGAATTGTGATTCAAAGTGTTATGAAATGAGACATGTTAGGTTAAATTTTGGTGAGCTCTAGTTACAGCTCTTGCAATTGTTTGTGTATGCGTGTGTGTGTGTGTGTGTGTGTGTGTGTGTGTGTGTGTGTGTGTGCGCGCGCGTGTGCGTGTGTGTGTGTGCGCGCGTGTGTTTGTGTGTGTGAGTGTGTGTGTGCGTGTGTGTCTGTGTGTTAAAGTTAAAGTCCCATTAGTTGTCACATACACTTATGTGTGTGCGAAATTTGTTCTCCGCATTTGACCCATCCCCTGGTGGAGCGGTGAGCTGCAGACACAGCGCGCTCGAGAACCATTTGGTGGTTTAACCCCCCAATCCATGCGTGTGTGTGTGTTTGTGTGTGTGTGTGTGTGTGTGTGTGTGTGTGTGTGTGTGTGTGTGTGTGTGTGTGTGTGTGTGTGTGTGTGTGTGTGTTTGAAGGAGGGTACACTGGAACGCTGACATCTTTGTCCCCCCTGTTTGCGGCCCTGCTGATGATCCCAAAGCCTTCTGAGTGATATGAAATGAGACAATGAATGAACTCAGATGAAACATGACCTTGTATGTCTGAGAGTTTTCCAAGTGACTCGGAAAGATGTCATCTCCAGTTTATAAAATAAATGTGGCTGTTTGTTGGATGCAATTTAACAAGTTATTTATTCCAACCACTCTGACGCCGTTGTTTACTCCACACACCCTGGATCATGAAGCTCTTGTAGATCCGGTCTGCAGGTGGAGCTGTCTCTCAGAGCGAGCGAGTGGACTTCTGATGTATCTGAAGGTCGTAGACACCCTCAGCACACGCACGACCGGTCAGAAGATACTTCCCAGATGGCTTCTGATCAGTGGGTGGTGGATTGGGCAAATAATAATTGTTGATTTAAAAAGGATGGTTCAAGAGTCACCAAAATTATTCCACTGAAAAATCAGGTTTGATTCCCCAGGATGGTCATTTAGCATGAGCTGTGAGCTTTGGATGAACTCGGAGCTCTGCCTGGAACTGGGGAAATAGGTAGTGAGTTCACTCTTAATGAAATGGTTATTTATGAACGTTGACCCACCAGATCTGATAAATGTGTATAGGTGTTTACCAAGACCCTCAGGCACCCCCCTTTCTGTGATGCTTAGAAAGCTTATTTCACTTATATACTTAGATTTACTCCATTTATGGAGTAAATCTGTTAAATATTCTTTTGTTAATACACTGATATTAATATGTGAATTAATTGATCATTACATCATCAAGCGGGCCCATTTAGCGTCTTTAAGATCTGAAATGTCATGAAATAATAAATATTTGTGTTAATTAATTATTAAATCACTTTAGATAGAGCATTCATTGTAGATAATTGTAATTATAACCAACTTGTGAAGAATCGTTTCATTAAAAAGGAAAAGTCTTGTCTTCTGCATGAGACCTTTGTAGGGTATTACTACATACTAGAATCACACTGTTTGCTATCAGTTGTAGATTCTGAGAAAAGATCCAAACGAGTTAACAATGAAGCTTATATTATATATAAATATCTAGGATATTATATATATATATATATATATATATATATATATATATATATATATATATATATATATATATATATATATAGATAGATAGATAGAAGTTCATACACCAACCTGTTTGGTCTATTTTTAATCCAAAGATTAATGTTTAATTTAAGATAATTAAATTTAATAGCAAAAGTTTATTTTTGAATCAGAAGTTGGGAATTTTTGCTTTTTTCAATAACCATAAATATTTATACCTTTCTGTGTTTCATTTCAAAGAATGAGGCAAAGTTTAAAAATGAAGAATTTATTACTAACAATTTTAAACTTGATGAATTTAAATGACAATTAAAAATGACAATTCATGAATGACAATTTAACAGCTTTGATATTAAACTTGTTTAAAAGGCAAACCTGTGAGTGAATGAAAGCTAAATTGAAAATACGAGTTTGGATGCGTGAATGTTCTCAGAAGGTTTCTTTCAGAGAAAGAAGTGCATTCTGGGTTGAAATGATGGTTTTGTAGCTAACTGTTGTTAGAGAAAACAGCATCAGAAACAATCTGTGTGCTACCTCACCCAGCAAGGATGACCCTTCGTGAGGATCCGGAGGTCAAGGGAGGATGGTGTCAGCCTCCAGGTACTCGGTCCGGTAGAGGAGACTCGAGGAACCAACTCTCTGGTCCGAAGATGTCGCCGGGTACACAGTGTCGAGCGTCTGGCTTAACTCTGAAGGAGTTTCTCATCTTAACTCTCAAAATCAATAACTCTGGAGGAGTTTTTGCGTCAGCTGGTTTCAGTTACGTTTATTCGTAGCTATTCTCATCGGCGTGACAGAACAGCAGGTGGAGGTTAGGGACGGCCGTTCCCTCAGTGATGGTGGTTGGTTCACAAACTGAAGTTCCTCTGCTGGAAAGTTAGTTTAACAAAACCCTCAGAACACGCCCTCTCTCAGAGCAAGAAAGCTTTGGTCATGAGTCAAAAAACGTGATGGCAGTTACCCTTTACTCTGGATAAACGCTGTGTTAGATGGATAAGGTGGAAGTTGACCTTCTGATGTGCTGAACACACATAACTGATCATCAACCATAACCATAATTATACCCAAAGCATAATAATTCATTTCAGTAATTAAAAATACATTTATAATGAACCAAGTGATTATTTATGATAATTATAATAAACCTCAATAAAGTCAAACAGTTTATTAATATTATTATTTAAATTATTATTGTGAACTTAAAGTGTCCTTCTTCTGGGACGGAACAGCAGCAGATAAAGGATGATATTCTTCAGACATCAGGGCTCCTGGGTTAATCTGTGGAACTAAAAGTCACAGCTGGAAAATGTGACCTTTGTCTCAAACTAGAGGCCCTTCATGACGCTACACCTTGGAGTTGCAGCAGGATTTAAATCGTGGCAGAAGAGAAGTCAGGCGATGGGATTGTTTTGACCATCTTCTGAAGAGACAAGTGTGTTTGGAGACCAGACCAGACAGCTAAGATGTGGCACGATGTCTGTTGACCTCTGACATTGCTGTGGACAAATACATCTGTTAGCCTTTCACAGCTTTATAGGGGAGACCGAACCTGGAGAAGATGTGATTCATCCAGAGAACGGCAGTGGTTTGCGCCGTGTTGGTGCTGGTAAATGATAAATGACCCGCACTTGTATAGCGCCTCTCAGAGTACGGACTCCAAAGCGCTTTACACTACAGTGTATCATTCATCCATTCACACACACATTCACACACTGGTGGTGATGATGAGCTACGATGTAGCTACAGCTGCCCTGGGGCGCACTGACAGAGTCGAGGCTGCCGAGCACTGGTGCCACCGGTCCCTCCGACCACCACCAGCAGGCAAGGTGGGTTAAGTGTCTTGCCCAAGAACACAACAGCAGAATTCTCTGTCCAGAGCCGGGATCGAACTGGCAACCTTCAGATTATTGGACAACCCGCTCTACCTGTGGTGCTACTGCTATCCAACATTCAACACACTTGGTGAATGCGCAGGTCACAGTTAAGAAGTATTTGTTCCTCCTGCTGGTGGAGTCCCACCCAATCAAACTGCAGGTCAGACAGGTGAAGACAGTCCTCTACTCTGAAGTGGAGCTCTGTGGATGGGGTTGGCGGGCTGAAACTGACAACACAACAAGCAGCTCTGAGTGTAGTCTGAGACGTCCCTACGCATCCCTGGCAAGTAAGCAACCTTACTCAGGCTGCCGAACATGGCTTTTACACCTGTGTGTCCAGCCGAAGGAGGGTCATTAGCCTGCACAATCATACCCCCTCCTGAGTGACGGAGGCACCACAAGAACAGGTGAAGAGGGAGGCCTAGAAACATGCATAAGCACCCCCATAACCATTCTCACCGTGACCCGAACATGGAAGAGGGCTCGTAGCTCAGGAACTGAATCATGATCGGTGGGAAAAGGTAGGTGAGCCGCAGGATCATCCTGCTGATAGCAGGGTCCTGGGACTGGAGACGGACATGGTTGTTCTCAGAAACGACCGGCTGCAGACACGAACCCATCAGCTGGTCATGGGGAGGACTCGTTGGTGGTCTGGGCCCGAGTCTCGACATACACCGGGTGGGTCTGACGGGAACCATCACCAAGAGCCGGCAGCAGCTAGTTTGGGGGCAAATTTGCTGTTTAAATGTAAGTCAGCTAACTGTTGCTATCGGGCTGATATCTGACGTGTTTTAGATCCGAAGCAGTTGTCTATGGTTGGTTGGTTGCAGCTTCAGTGGCTAGCAGGTAGCAACTCGCTTACATGTGTAATAGAACCAACGTATACACAATAAAACAAGGCTCGTTGTACGTTTATATTTAAATTCATATGTTTAAAATATAACTTCACCTCTCGTGTCGTGTAACTCTGTCCCATTTAACTGCTTGCTGTGACCAGGGAAGGACAGTGTCCTCATAAGCGAGGGGCCTGGCCCCTCGACACTGAGAAACACCCAGGATGTTTCTGCTGGAAAGCCTCTCTGAGGTTCATGGTCTCTCTAGACCTGGTTGGTTTGGACTCATCAGATCCCTCAACACATGAAATCCACCTTTTTGAAACTTCTGTTTTGTTTTTATTCCTTCTCTTTGATACGGAGTTACAGAAAAGCAAAAACTAGCTTCTAGTGAAAGTGGATCTGGATAAAGAAGATAACGCAAAAAACATAAATGTCGGAGCAGAATAAAAGGTTAAAGGTCACAATCTGGTGCTTGGTTTGACACAAGGGATTCGATCTGCTGCAAAAACTCGCAAAAATAAAACGTCGACTCAAAAATGAAGACAGAAATCTCTCCGTTTTCTTCAAAATCACTTTTATTCCACAATAGATGTCATCATCAGGTCTTAAGGCACCCTGAAGAGATGTTACACACGGTTCTTTCACTGTGGGTTCCTTTAGACGGTGTAAACGTAGCTTTGAATAAGATAATTCTATTTAAATCTTTGCTTAAATTATATTTCTTTACAGTGCACAGACATTGTGTTTGTGACAAAAATAGTGTGGACTGGGTGAACGTGTGTATGTGTGCGTGTATAGATATGTACATTGAAGAGTAATAGATTGGCAGACAGTCAGATAAACAGGCTGAAGAGAGTAAACTAACAATCTTTGAGACCCAGATAGATATACAGAGCACACAGAGATATACAGTACATAGTTACAGTGAAGGTTTTACTTCTGCAACGCTTCGTCCTCGCCTCTCTTCCTTCAGGAGCAGCTCGTCCTACCTTCTGTGAGTGTTGGCGGCCTCAGCCAGTCCTCGTCCCAGTCCTGGAGGGCTCACCCACGCGCTGGCCGTCGCAGTGGATCAACAGGAAGACAGGCAGACAGACACACATGCAGACAGACAGACAGACACACGGCACAAGACTGGGTTGCAGCTTCGCCCTCCACAACACAAAGCTCTATCTATATTTCCCTAACTATGTCGAGGGTCATGATGTATTTATAGCGGGAGGGGAGCTCGGAGTGGGTGGTTCATATACTGGGATACATTGGCTATACTTGATTATCAAGGTACATCTTGGAGTCTCTGTGAGTGTAATGAGATGTAAGTACTCTGGGGATTTACTGTAAATATTCTACTTCTTCAAATCTATTATACAGCAAGTTAGAAATCCTTGCAACGCGCAGTAACGCCGTCTCTCGTCGAGTCTGGGATGAAAACACCAAACTCATCCAAACCAGCGGGATCAGCTCCAGAGAGCGCCGCTGCCATGGCTAGAAGGTATCCGATCACATTCCTACACTAAAACCCAAAGTAACCAGAGGAGAGGGGGCAGCGGGGATGTGGGGGTCGGGTTTGTTTCTGGGGATGTTTGAGGAGGTCAGCAAAAACCACGGGAGAAAGAAGGGTCAGAAAGGTCATCAAAGCAACATCTAATCTCATCCAGCTCTCCTATAAGAACCCTGACTCATCAGAGGGGAACTCAGACGCCTTTCTGACACGTCTGACTCTTCCTTCCACCTTCTTTCTTTTTTAAACACAAATCCTTCGCAGATGCAGGGCCGACTCGTCTGGTTCCACGGGCCGTCTTCGCTCTTTACTCCACAACCTTGATCCTGAAGGTGACGCGGCCCAGAAACTTGTCCCTTTCGTCGTTGTTGCGGAGACTGCAGCCCTCCACCCGGCACTCCACCGACAGCTCCTTGTTGTAGTCCTCCTTGGTGAGCAGCAGCTGAACGGCCACCAGAGGCTGCAGGTAGTTCTCCTGCAGGCGGATCAAACAGCCGCGGGTCATATCGAAGGTTAAGATGGGTCCTCGACTAAATTTGTTCTAGGGCCGGAGTTTTTTCCAGCAGACACCGTGAGGGCCAGGCGCTCTTCTAAAGTAATACTTAATTAAAATGTAAAATGGATTTCATCTAAACTGTTCTGATTGTAGTTTCGTGGCTACACGTGCGATGTTTAGAACACGCGTCTCAGAGTGAGAGGCTGAGTGAGGCTGTCAGCGTTGGCGCAGCTTTCACCGCCTTCCCCGAGGGATGTGGCCGAAAAATCTTAGCTAGGAGGAGAGGAACACCCGACCAACCTCCGGAGAAGAGACGCCGAGCAGCAGAGATTTGAAAACGGTCTCAGCAGAACAACAGGAATGATTTCATGAGTACAACTTTCTGAACAGCTGTGACGTAACGTGCGTTTAGACTAACCTAAAAGTGCCGTCCTGCAGTTTGATGTAGAAACTAAACCCAGACTTGGTGAAGAGGGATTTAAGGTCTGACTCGGCCCTACATCTGTTTTTAAGTAAATGCGATTGTATCCCACCTCTTTCAACAAAACGGGACAAACACAAGCCTGAAGGAGCTCTATTACTACGCAGGCCTCGGAGCTTTTAAGAATGTCACATGCCTCACTGTAGCTAGCTAAAATGCTACTGTAGGTTAGCGCTGGCTGGATATTACGGTCATCCTCCCACCCCTCTGGCTCAGTAGGCAGAGGGAGTGTCCCGTTTGAGCAGTGACAGCTGGTGTTTGCCCGTTTTCCACCTCCAAAAGCCCATAAACAGGGACTGCATTCTCCATGTAAACTAATGCAGACCGGGACATTCTCACATCTTTCGGCAAAGCATCATGGGCCATAAGAATAAGGTGGACACAAGTTCAAACTGAATGTCAACCAAGTTCGCTTGTTTTTTCAACACATCTGCCATGGCCTCTGACTTAAATAAATGCCTTCTGAGTCCATTTTTGAGGGGAAAACAAAGCTCTGGTGCTCCTGCTTCAGGTACTAGGAGTGAGCCAGAGGAGAGGTGAGCAGAAAACAGCAGCTTTTATTCTCTTATTTCCTGATATTTGGACATCTCTCTTCTGATTGGCCAACACCAACGTGACTCTAACCCCAGTGGTGTTTTTGTTAATGAAAATGATGACGAATTGAGTTTGTTGGCCCCCCTTTATTTCATAACAAAAACAAAATGCTAATGAGCTAAAAATAGCTGGCTCTCACCCACATAAGAAAGCACTAACCCAGCGGTACTCAAAAGGCGGCCCACGGGGGCCGGGCGGCCAGCACCCCCACACCGGTCCGCCAGTCTCATTTGCGCCGAAGGGGTAGAAACGGCACAGTTGTGTATTGCTGTTTGGCTATATTGCATTGGTTTGTGTTGTGTTAGGATCCGCTTTTGTCATCTAGAATATGACTAATACTAAGGCTAACGTGCGTTTTGTCATCTATATTAGGACGAAAACTAAGACTAGCATGCGTTTTGTCGTCTAGACTAAAACTAAGACTAACATGCGTTTTGTCATCAAGACAAAGACTAAAACTAAGACTAACATGTGTTTTGTCGTCTAGACTATGACTAATACTAAGACTAACATGCGTTTTGTCATCAAGACAAAGACTAAAACTAAGACTAACGTGTGTTTTGTCATCTAGACTAAGACTAAAACTAAGACTAACATGTGTTTTGTCATCTAGACAAAGACTAAGACTAACATGCGTTTTGTCATCTAGACTAAGACTAAAACTAAGACTAACATGCGTGTTGTCATCTAGACTAAGACTAAAACTAAGACTAACATGCGTGTTGTCATCAAGGCAAAGACTAAAACTAAGACTAACATGTGTTTTGTCATCTAGACTAAAACTAAGACTAACATGCGTGTTGTCATCAAGGCACAGACTAAAACTAAGACTAACATGTGTTTTGTCATCTAGACTAAAACTAAGACTAACATGTGTTTTGTCATCTACACTAAGACTAAAACTAAGACTAACATGTGTTTTGTCATCTAGACTATGACTAATACTAAGACTAACATGCGTTTTGTCATCAAGACAAAGACTAAAACTAACATGCGTTTTGTCATCTAGACTAAGACTAAAACTAAGACTAACATGCGTGTTGTCATCTAGACTAAGACTAAAACTAAGACTAACATGCGTGTTGTCATCAAGGCAAGGACTAAAACTAAGACTAACATGTGTTTTGTCATCTAGACTAAAACTAAGACTAACATGCGTGTTGTCATCAAGGCACAGACTAAAACTAAGACTAACATGTGTTTTGTCATCTAGACTAAAACTAAGACTAACATGTGTTTTGTCATCTAGACTAAGACTAAAACTAAGACTAACATGTGTTTTGTCATCTAGACTATGACTAATACTAAGACTAACATGCGTTTTGTCATCAAGACAAAGACTAAGACTAACATGCGTTTTGTCATCTAGACTAAGACTAAAACTAAGACTAACATGCGTGTTGTCATCTAGACTAAGACTAAAACTAAGACTAACATGCGTGTTGTCATCAAGGCAAAGACTAAAACTAAGACTAACATGTGTTTTGTCATCTAGACTAAAACTAAGACTAACATGTGTTTTGTCATCTACACTAAGACTAAAACTAAGACTAATGTGCATTTTGTCATCTAGACTAAAACTAAGACTAACATGTGTTTTGTAATCTAGACTATGACTAATACTAAGACTAACATGCATTTTGTCATCTAGACTAAGACTAAAACTAAGACTAACGTGCATTTTGTCGTCAAGATTAAGACTAAAACTAAGACTAGCATGCGTTTTGTCGTCTAGACTACGACTAAAACTAAGACTAATGTGCGTTTTGTCATCTAGACTAAAACTAAGACTAATGTGAGTTTTGTCATCTAGACTAAGACTAATACTAAGACTAACGAGCATTTTGTCATCTAGACTAAAACTAAGACTAACGTGAGTTTTGTCATCTAGACTATGACTAATACTAAGACTAACATGAGTTTTGTCATCTAGACTATGACTAATACTAAGACTAACATGCATTTTCTTGTCAAGATTAAGACGAAAACTAAGACTAGCATGCGTTTTGTCGTCTAGACTAAGACTAAAACTAAGACTAACGTAAGTTTTGTCATCTAGACTAAAACTAAGACTAATGTGAGTTTTGTCATCTAGACTAAGACTAATACTAAGACTAACGTGCGTTTTGTCATCTAGACTAAAACTAAGACTAACATGAGTTTTGTCATCTAGACTATGACTAATACTAAGACTAACATGCATTTTGTCGTCAAGATTAAGACGAAAACTCAGACTAGCATGCGTTTTGTCATCTAGACTACGACTAAAACTAAGACTAACGTGCGTTTTGTCATCTAGACTATGACTAATACTAAGACTAACGTGCGTGTTGTCATCTAGACTAAGACTAAAACTAAGACTAACATGCGTTTTGTCATCAAGGCAAAGACTAAAACTAAGACTAACATGTGTTTTGTAATCTAGACTATGACTAATACTAAGACTAACATGCGTTTTGTCATCTAGACTAAGATTAAAACTAAGACTAATGTAGGTTTTGTCATCTAGACTATGACTAACACTAAGACTAACTTGCGTTTTGTCATCTAGACTATGACTAATACTAAGACTAACGTGCGTGTTGTCATCTAGACTAAGACTAAAACTAAGACTAACATGCGTTTTGTCATCTAGATTAAGACTAAAACTAAGACTAACATGCATTTTGTCGTCAAGTTTAAGACGAAAACTAAGACTAGCATGCGTTTTGTCGTCTAGACTAAGACTAAAACTAAGACAAACGTGAGTTTTGTCATCTAGACTAAGACTAATACTAAAACTAAGGTGCGTTTTGTCATCTAGACTAAAACTAAGACTAACGTGAGTTTTGTCATCTAGACTATGACTAATACTAAGACTAACATGAGTTTTGTCATCTAGACTATGACTAATACTAAGACTAACATGCGTTTTGTCATCTAGACTAAGACTAAAACTAAGACTAATGTGCGTTTTGTCATCTAGACTAAGACTAATACTAAGACTAACGTGCATTTTGTCATCTAGACTAAAACTAAGACTAACGGGAGTTTTGTCATCTAGACTATGACTAATACTAAGACTAACATGAGTTTTGTCATCTAGACTATGACTAATACTAAGACTAACGTGAGTTTTGTCATCTAGACTATGACTAATACTAAGACTAACATGCGTTTTGTCATCTAGACTAAAACTAAGACTAAAGTGCGTTTTGTCATCTAGACTAAAACTAAGACTAACATGAGTTTTGTCATCTAGACTATGACTAATACTAAGACTAACATGTGTTTTGTCATCTAGACTATAACTAATACTAAGATTAACATGAGTTTTGTCATCTAGACTAGACTAAAACTAAGACTAACGTGAGTTTTGTCATCTAGACTATGACTAATACTAAGACTAACATGAGTTTTGTCATCTAGAGTATGACTAATACTAAGACTAACATGCGTTTTATCATATAGACTAAGAATAAAACTAAGACTAACGTGCGTTTTGTCATCTACAGGTGCTGGCCAGTAAATTAGAATATCATCAAAAGGTTGAAAATATTTCAGTAATTCCATTCAAAATGTGAAACTTGTACATTATATTCATGCAATGCACACAGACCAATGTATTTCCAATGTTCATTACATTTAAATTTGATATTCATAAGTGACAACTAATGAAAACTCCAAATTTGGTATCTCAAAAAATTAGAATATTCTGAAAAGGCTGAATATAGAAGACACCTGCTGCCACTCTAATCAGCTGATTTACTCAAAACACCTGCAAAGGCCTTTAAAAGGTCCCTCAGTCTTGTTTTGAAGGCACCACAATCATGGGGAAGACTTCTGACTTAACAGCTGTCCAAAAGACAATCATTGACACCTTGCACAAGGAGGGCAAGACACAAAAGGTGATTGCTAAAGAAGC